TCCGACTGAAGCAGTCCCGCGGATCGCAAGCTGCCACAGCGGAGGTCATTTCATGCACACAGACGCCGAGAGTCTCATCGAATACATGGCCATCCGTGCAATGATAATAGGTGGGCACCGTATCACAGGCGCAGAAGCCTCTGGTTGTGTTTCGTGCAGCGAACGCATCGAACTTGACGCGCGTTCTGCACATTGTCGGATCACAGGCATCCACAACACAGATGTTGAGAATCTTATCATAAACGTGATATTGTCCACAGCTCTGATAGGTGGCAACGCCAGACGCTTCGCACACGCAGAAGCCATTGATCGTGTCCTTGGCTGCAAAGGTAGTGAGAGGCGTACGGCTGTTGCACAAGGTGGAATCACAAGCCACATCCAGATTGGCACCAGTGGCTGTATCCAGGCATAGGTTTAGCTTGGCGTCGTATTCCTTGCCCTCGGGGCAATCCTGATAGACGGCGATACCCTCCAGGCATAGACAAAAGCCGGCTGTCGTATTCAAGGCCTCAAAATTGGAGTAATCCGCCAATTTAGCACATCCCGTGGGATTACAAACGCAGCTGGGTGCCTATGGGAAATCAAGGAAGTTCCATAAGTGCTCATCCAGATCATTTGCTACTGCAGTAAATTCAATTTGAAACTCACCTCCCGTAAGAGACAGAGGTCGACGGTGGAATCATAAAATTTGCCTAGCGGGCAGTTGACGTAGTAAGCCTCGCCGCCTTGACAAAGACAGAAGCTCGAGTCATCCTCTTCATTCGATGAGGCAAACGTGGCATCCTCAGGCAGGGAGGCGCACTTGCTGCTGCAGCAGTATGGGCTGATAATACCCTATACCGAATAAATGACGTTCGGTATTCAAAATTTATAGATATCAATTGAATTTCAATGGCCTACCGTTACTTCCAGACAGGCTCCGACATCAACATCAAACTGCTTTCCATCGGGACACAATCTGTAATAGGGGAAGCCACTCTGACAATAGCAGAAGCCCTCAGTTCCATTGAGTGCCAAATACGGCTCGTTTTCTGCGAGAGTATCACACTGTGTCGCATCACAAACAGCTGGACCCTATACATAATAATAAATATATATATATACATAATGTCTCTACAAGAAATGAAGCTCAGTCAAATATTTACCGCTGTCTCTAGGCAAATCAGTAAATCTACATCGAACTCCTTGCCATCAGGGCACTGCGAATAAACTCCACAGGACTCCTTGCAATAGCAGAAACCGGCGACAGAATTGGCAACTGGATAAGTGGTGTATTCAACCTCTGTTGCGCATATTGTTGAGTCACACTCATTCACAGGACATTCGATAATCGGCTAAGAAACAAATATATATATATTTATAACAAATATATATAACCCAAGCATGTTAAGTACTTACAGTTGGGAACAAGCAAACCCCTAAAGAAGCATCGTAGACTTTTCCGAACGGGCAGGAGTGGAACGAGGCCAGCTCATCCATACACAAACAGAAGCCAGTGTCCGAGGCTTTCGATGCGAATGTATCACCATTTGGCTTACCGCTGCAGTAGCCTGTGCAGCATCTGGGCTGTAATTGTGAAGGTATTCAAGTTGGGCTTATAAGCATTCTTTTTATATAGAAGTCTCAACCTACATCTGCCAGCGGCGCCAGTACACACTTGAGATTAGCGTCATTGAAAGTGTAGCCGATGGGGCAAGGCACTGATACGGTTTGATTGGCACGGCATAGACAGAAGCTGTTAGGATCGTCATAGTTGACAGAGACAGAGTACTCAGGGGCGTTAACGCACTCTTGGGGATCACAAGGTCCCGTCTAGAATGTGTTTGTATTAAATATAAAATAAAAATGATCTTGATCTTTCCACTTCACTACTCACAAAAAGGCATGCGCCCGCCGTGGCGTTGAATGTCGTGCCCGCATTGCAGTTCTTCAAGAAGGCACCGTCGGTCTCGCACAGGCAGAAGGTGCTGTCATCACCCGTCAGCGATGCATAGACCTGATTGACATTGGTCTCCTTGCACTGGGTTTGATCACAGGAGGTCTGCAATAAATAAGAATTATGACATATGCCCAGAAGCTAGAATTTCGATATGAATTCACTTACACTTGGTTGAGGCAGGCAAATGGACAAAGTGGGATCAAAGGCCGAGTTCGGTGGACAGGAACGAATAAGTGCGAAATTGTCGACGCAAACATAGAATCTGGTAGTGTCACTGGGATCTGGGAAGGTAGCTCCATCAGCAGCTGTCGCGCACTGATTTGCATTACAAGTCACAGTGACGGAACAAGTGGCTGTCTTTGTATTGAAAGCTTCGCCCTTGGGGCAATCCATAACCTGAGGCACTCCGGCAGTGCACTCGAAGTACTTGGAGCAGATGGGATGTGCAACATTGCCATCTTTGGAGCCGCAAGGATTAATGCATTGTCCAGTGACATCAATGATGCAGCTGCTACCGTCAAAGCGCTCGCCGCTGTCACAGGTACCAGGCACTGCCAATCCATCGGTGCAGGTAACGTAGGACGAGCAACAAGAGCCGGGCAATACGAAGCCATTGGGCTTATTGTTGCATACCCAGCATGTGGCGTCGGTGTCGGGCACACAGGCACCCACGCTGTTGCTGAATATGTTGCCGCGACCACAGGTGCCCTCGACCAGCTCACCGTTCTGGCAAAGCACATACATATCGCATTCGGTTGTCGAGGCCTGCATGGCGCCTTCGGCCAAGCCATTGCATGAGGCAGATCGTTTGCTGCGCGAGTTCGGCTGAAGCCATTTGTTTTCGGGGCATTGATTGTTGTCATCCCGGCGACAGATGCCCACGGAGGCATCAAAGTAGAAGCCACCAGTACAGGACTCCTTAGCCCATTTGCCATTGATGCACGCAAAGTAGGTCCAACAGTTGTCAGCACCACGGGCTGCGGAAAATTCCTTGCATTCGCCACCCGCAGCTACAGTAGTAGGCTCAACCACACATATGTTCAGGCTGTCATCATAGTAGTTTCCTTGTCCACAATCGGCGGACACCAATTCACCATTCTCGCATTTGAAGTAGAGGCGGCARTTCTCGGGATCAMGMACCGTCTCTCCATCTTTGACGCCATTATCACAATCCTTGCCTGTTATTGGACCTTCGGTTGAGCATGGTGGGCATACATTATTCTCATCAATAACGCAAGCCCCAAGAAGTGCATTGAAATAGGATCCACTTGGGCATGTCCTCGATATCCAGGTGCCATTCTCGCAATAGTTATACTTATTGCAGTTCTCCTCGTCGACAGACACAGTTTCATTTGTGCAGGCTGTACTTGCGCAGCAGTGGTTATCGCTGTCAACCACACATATGTTCAGGCTGTCGTCGTAGTAGTTTCCTTGTCCACAATCAGCGGACACCAATTCCCCATTCTCGCATTTGAAGTAGAGGCGGCAGTTCTCAGGATCAAGAACCGTCTCTCCATCTTTGACACCATTATCACAATCCTTGCCTGTTATTGGACCTTCGGTTGAGCATTGAGGACATACGTTATTCTCATCAATAACGCAAGTCTCAATTGATTTATCAAAGTAGGATCCACTTGCACATGTCTTCGATTCCCAGCTGCCATCCTGGCAAACGTTGTACTTGTAGCAGAATTCCTCATCGGCTGACACAGTACCGTCCACACATGTAGTACTTGGAGTAGTTGTGCACTCCTTCTCGGGGCATGTGCCCGGTAAGCAGTGCAGGCCGCTCTCACTGAAGTAGCTACCGGTGGGGCACAATTGGCGGGTTGCCTGTTGCTGTGAGCATATATAGAAGGCGCCGCAGTCGTCATTATCAGCCACCATGGAGCCATCGGGTTTGCCAATGCAGAAGTTCTCCCAGCAGTTTGAGTTATTCTCATCAGTGACGCAATCGACCGAACTGTTGCTGTAGTAGGAGCCACTGGCGCATGTCTTTACTGTGGCCACCTTGTCCTCGCAGACGTAGTAACTGGCACAGGATGTGTTGCTTGGGAAGGACACACCATTTTCCTTCGTCAAGCACTGGTTTTGCCAGCACTCTGATGCTGGATCTGGAATGCAAGCATTGGTCGTAATGTCAAATTGGCTACCGGCATCACAGCTCTGTGCATATGCCAGCTGCTCATCACAGATATAGAACTCGGAGCAGTAACCAGACTTAGGCAAGTAGGCGCCATTGACCTCGCTGGCACAGATGTTGGCAAGCTAAGGGAAAATGAGAATAGAGCAGATGCAATGAGAGACATCAGATTTATCAACTTACACCGGAAAGCGGAGCAGCTAGGCTCAGTTTGCAGACTCCACGTCTTGCTGCCGAGCATTTGCCTGTCTTCGGATTGTAGTCCTTGCCCTTGGGGCACTTAATGGAGCGCACCACGTTCTTGTTAGTACAACGATAATAGCTGGAGCAGCTCTTAGGATTCGGCCAGTGTGATGTCAGGCCACGTAGCTTGCGGTAAACGCATTCAGGATCGGCAGCACCGACAATTGATGCCACTGCGGTTAACGTAACCACAGTAAGCAGAGTAACTGTTAGGGGAAAACGAAATTTACTTTACGCAACTCTATGAATTGATGTCGATGTCCTTTTGCTGACCTTTCATTTCTGTTCACTGATATTCCACGGCTGTTGCTATGATTGGACTCCGCACAATTACCAAAATTTCGTGGTCTTTATATACATATTAAGAGAACGTGGTTAACATTGATTTCTGCTTATCAGCATCATTCGATCGATCAGTGCGTACTTATCAGCATTTGTATTTTGTGTTCAACATGCGCCCATCAAGTACTTTTAATTGAGTTCAAGACTTTGTGCATGAATTCCAGGAAGACAGCAAACCGAATGTCATAGAGTCTGCTCAGCCACACCCCAAATATAAATTTGCCGATTCTTAATTGGTTATGAATGAAGTGCAATGAGAATACATGTGCACCCAAAAATTATAAAAACATTATTGCTAAAAAATTAAAGCTTTAAGCTCTATAATTCTTTGCATATATACATATATGATTTACTATATATATATTCATATTCAAGCGCAAGCAGCTTCACAAGTCTTTGTCCTAGAGTCCCAATAGAGATTGGATGGACAGTCTTTTATATAGCCAAGGTCACCATCGCAATGGACAAACTTGTGACAGTTATAGGGATATGGCAGCAGCTCGACCCCCGGATGGTTTCTACACATTGCATCGATATCTATGCCACCTATGGTTGTTGTTGGTACAGAAATGGTTGTGCCTGTGGATTCATTCGATGCGGTTGTCGTTATTGGCTCCTCGCTTGTTCTGCTATCAGTTGTCTGACCGGTTGTTCCTTGTGTTGAAGTAGGTAGATTTTCCGAAGTGGTAATACCCGATGGAGTTGTTGCTGATGTTCCTTGACTGGAGCTATTGGGATCTGCAGTGGGTGTTACGCCTGTTGGATTTGTTGGCGGCTCTATAGATGTTCCTTGACTGGAACTATTGGGATCTGCAGTGGGTGTTAAGTCTGTAGGACTTGGTGGAGACTCCGAAGACGTCTCTTGTGTTGAGCTATTTGGATCTACAGTGGGAGTTACGCCCGTTGGATTTGGTGGCGGCTCAGTTGGCGTTTCTTGTGTTGAAATATTTGGGTCTGCAGTAGGGGTAACTCCCGTTGGATTTGGTGGAGGCTCAGTAGAACTATTAGGATTTGCAGTGGGTGTTACCTCCGTCGTTGTCTGTGGCAGCCCTGTGGGCGTTTCTTGTGTTGAAGCATTGGGATCCCTGGTAGGATTTGGGGGCGACTCAGATGTGGTGCCAGGATCCCGATTTGGTGTGGTCTCAGAAGGGGTCTGTGTCGAACGTGTGGGAGACACACTGGTTGTCTTCTCAGTTGACTCATTGTCCGTTGACGTCGATTGAGAGGGGCTCGAGGTTACGCAAGGCGGTGCAATTGTTGTCGTAACTGTTTTGAAACAGCTTGCAGCGTTAAGTGTTTTTAGCAGTAGCACCAACTGCAATAATATTAATACACTGAAGGCCACTGAAATGGTTACAAATGTCCTTTGATGTCTATCGAATACGAAAGTTCAACAATTTAGAGAACTTACCTTTCATTTTGTTCTAAAACCAAGTGTTTAGCAATACTAGAGCAGCTGCAGACGATGCACTTGATATTTATATCACTGGGAAATGCAACTATATGTATTATTGCCCTATCAATGTTTAATTAGAGCATTACAATGCACTTATGCAGTTATCTTATCTCAATTTGTTGATTTGCATAAACCTACATATTCAATCAGAAATTGTCAACATTATCAATCGAAGAGAGTAAACAAAGGTGAGGAATTCTGAAAAATTGATGACTGAATTATAATCTTACATTTGTATTCAATTTAATTAGGAACTAAATGGTTTGATAATTAGTGTTATGTGTAAACTTGCAAAATAAATAACTGCATGCCTGAAAGTATGCAACATAATGGATTTACCTTACAAGGTAATATCTACTACTATTTCTTCGAATTGGTAGTGGAATTTTTTGTTTGAAATGAGAAAAAGTCGTTATAAAATTAATAGTATTTAAATTTTTTGATTTCATATTTATAAACATATTTTGTGCACTGGCTCTAACAATCTGATTTCTAATATCAAAAAGCTAAAGGCTTATCGCTTTAGTCATACCCTAAATGTTATGAAATGTATGAAATAAATTACTAAAACACTCACATTAATCTTCTCCTGTTAACTAATTAATGTAGTTACACCGTTAAACAATTACTAAGTTCGCTTATCAAGTTGCCTTTATTGAAGGCTCTAAATGATGTGCAAATCGATCGATTATTGAGCATATATAAAGTCGAATAATTCAACAAAAGTTTAGTCGAAGCTTAACGAACGAAGCACAGACAGCAGCAAATAATACAAAATGAAAGGTTAGTTTGATCGACTCAATATTCTCATCCATATGGAATACAGAAGATGAAAAAAAAAAAAATAAATAGAAATTTTAATTTTAATTTCTCAATAACTATTAACTTGCAGCAATTATTGGAATACTACTTATCCGAGTTATGATTATATCTGCTCAACCCATTGATGACTTTTCCATAATTGGAACATCACCAGAGTCGGAAATAACAGAAAATGCAGAGAGCTCTCCAACATATATTGAGATTTCTACAGAAGAAACTGAAGTAACAGAAGCAACTGAAGAAAGTGAAGTAACAGAAGAAACTAATGTAACAGAAGAAACTAATGTCACAGAAGAAACTAATGTAACAGAAGAAACTCATGTAACAGAAGAAACTGAAGTAACTGAAGAAACAACTGACCCACCTACGTCCACAACAGAGGAACTAGAAACCACTGTCGAACCAATAGTTGTATGTGATGAGGGAGTCGCATTCCTGCCAGCGCCTGAGTGCACTGATTACTACATGTGTCTACATGGAGTGGGCATCTTGAAATCATGTCCAGACGGTCTCTACTGGGATCCCAGATGGAGCACCTGCAATTGGAACTCAGCAGGTTGCAATAACGAGTTACCGGAATACCAATGTGAAGACGGTATTGACTTTCTGCCTGTGGAATCAGATTGCACTCGGTACATTCAGTGCGTTCACAATAGTCCAATACAGATGACATGTCCAGCTAATCTCCTTTGGAATCAGCCACTTCGAAGATGTGACTATGAATGTGAAATTTAGAAATATCCTAAATTTTATTAAATTAATTTAATTTTTCTTTTTTTTTTTCATTATTATTAATTGATATGAAAAAGTGAATCATTCGCCAAGAATGTTAACAGCTATTGAAAATAATAAATAGATTGAAGTTATATCAATTTATAATCATTGGTTTGATATCAGAGCTGTAATAGATATAATACAATGACTGTAAAGACTATCACAGACCTCTTACCATGAAAAACAGTACAATGCAACAACTTGGAGATAACAATGAGCTTCACATTGGTGTAGATAAGAGTGGGTATAAAAGTATTGTCAACAAATAAATAACGCGTGCAGCCAGAGAAGCGTATCAATAATGAAGATATATTTTTATGTGTATATTAGTATGTGTATATATGTCTATATGTTTATAAGTCTATATGTCTATATGTATACATGTCTATAAGTCTATATGTCCGATATCAAATTTTAATTATCAATCAGTTTAAAGGTAGAGATATTCTAATAAATCCATATTACTAGTTTAACATTCTTTAAAAACAATAAATTCTATATTTCAATAATCATTATATAGAAAACAATCTGATATTTTCTCTGATTTTTAGTAAAACTCTGACAAATAAAAACAAAAACACTCAAGCTAGATTATGGGAAGCACCAAACGGTTAGCGAGGCAAGGAACAAAGTACATAACACAGATTTATACCATATCACAACAAAGCAATTATCAATATTCCAGAGAACAAAAATTGTAATTAAAAGATGATTTGTCTTGTACCTCTAGGGTATAAAAGTCAACAGACTACAGCCTACGAAGACAGACCAAATTTTGGTGTGAAGAAAGTCAATATGAGATCTTTTAGTAAGTGTTGAAATCGAATACTCAAAAGGAAATATTTCATCTAAAATTCTTACAGTTGTCGTCCTGTTGTTTGCTGCTGCAGTCAGAGCTCAAAGTCTGAAAGATGTAAGCGAATGGCTTGAATGGTTAGTATAAAATTTATTTCAGTAAATTAATCCATTTGCAGCATTGCAAGGGCATTCAATATGATCTAATACCACATCCGGATACCAATGAGAAATTCATTGTATGCGCCTATGATTCGGCCGAAGTGCGTACCTGTGACAAGGAAGATCAGGTGCAGAAGTGTTTCGATCCCATCGACAAGGTCTGCAGCGTTGCTGCTTGCACGGCGCCCAAGCCCGTAGACGAGGACATTGCCAAGGAGATATGCGAGAAATTGGGTACATCGGAGCGTATACCGTCTGTCGATTGCGGCCACTTCTGGATCTGCCTAGCGCACATGGAGCCCGTCTATGTTAGCTGTCCACAGGGCAAGCACTTCTCGCGCTCCGAGCAGGATTGCATTTCGCCAGCCCTGGCCAAGTGCGCGGCCCCTGAGAAACTGTGCGCGTCCAACCTCAACAGCTACGCAGCCGAAAACTGCAATGAATTTTATGGTTGTGCCAGCAAGAAGCTGGTGAAACGCAGCTGCGCCTATGGCGAGGCCTACAATGCGCTCACCGCATCCTGCGAAAAGGACGTCAAGAATAGCTGTGGAGCCTACAGCAAGCCAGACTGCACAGACCCAGCCAATGCCAATGCCTATTTCGCTCACAATGACTGTTCGCGATTCTACATTTGCGTATTGAATCAAGTCTACGAGGGAAAATGCGCAGATGGCTATGGATTCGATAGCTTAAGTTCCAATTGCAAGTACGGCCTCTGCTAAGGCAGTATTCTAATAAAATAATCAATCTATACTATCAATTTCGCATGGTTTATTTATCTGTCGGCATTTTAGTTTAGTTACTCTTGGCTAAACACATATTTTGTCACAGGTCAGCAGCTGGGAGTTCCAGTACAAGTAGCGCGGGCAGCTCTTCACAAATGGCAAATAGTCGCACTGTATGAAACGCGTGCAGTCTCCGGGATAGGGTATAAATGTGCCTAGCTTATCCTTACACAACCCATTGAAGTCTTCCTCGGGTTGGCTTGAAAATTTCGAGCAATTGCTCAGCTCATTGGTGTCACAGCGTTGCAATTGGGCATTCCAGTAGGATTTGGTCGGACAGGTCAGTGCTCGTGTCTGGTAATAGCGATTGCAGTCACCTGGATAGGGCTTATAGGTTATGCCATCTGTCCGGATGCCAGTGAATTGTTCTGCTGCGCTGAAGCTACTCACGAGAGCGAAAGCACAGAAAATCCAAATTTTAAGCACTAGGAAAATAAATTTTATCAACTGACTTAAAAATTAAATAAAACACATTTACTTACTTCTTACTTTCTCTGATGGAAAATGAGAAATGAGAACTTTGCAGCTCTATTACACGGCTTTATATACAGTATACTAGAAGGTCAATTGCGTGAAACGCTCATAACGCTAAAATCAATAATAATATCTAGATAAAATATAGATTAAATAAATTATGTACATAGCCAGAGCTTGACCGGTTAAGTGGCTTTGATTTAACTGGAAATATGTGAAGATGAATTTRAAAGGAAAATATATATTTTAATAACACTTGACTGAGGAATTTATTTTTATCTTAAAGCTAACTAAATGAGCTTAATCAGCCATTGACAGGAGAAATAATGAAGATAGGGCTTAATAAGAATTTGTATAAAAAGGCAGAGCTAAGCATTAAGATCATTCAGTACTTGCTACTAGGCTCAGCTGATACGATATCATCGATCATACGATATTGGTCAATCCTTTCTTTCGAGACAATGAAATTTGCGGTCTTCATTTGCCTGCTTGGCGTTACCTTAGCAACGGGAAACTTTGGTAATGTGGGCATTGGTTTGGTAAGTGTAATCGAAACGATTCGACATCAAGTCTTTAATAATCGCATCTACAGCCTATCTCACTCGAACCGCCCATCGAGACGAGTAAGTGTCCTGCCTATGATGATCCCAATCACAGTGTTATGTTTGCCTATCCCAACGACTGCCGCAAGTACTACGCCTGTGTAAATGGTCGGGCCTATGCACATCAGTGTCCCGAAAATCTCTACTGGAGCCAGCTGACGTATCGTTGTGACTACAGGCAGTACGCCAATTGCGACAATATACCGTATCCGGAGCACACGCAGTACAGCGCCTATCCCGGCGATTGTGGACTATACTTTGAGACGCGTCTGCTAAGCTGCCCGAACAACTATGACTGGAATGATCAACATAAACGCTGCGAGCCGCCACAAATTGCCGGATGCCGGCCAGTACCGCCTCTTAACACCCAGATACCATTTGAGCCGACCGCAGCAACTCCGCCAGCCGTAATCAAGCCAACAATTCAACCAGAGCCCAGTGCACCCATTGATCCGCAAAGTCTATGCATTGCTGCTGCTGGCCAACTGACATATCTTCCATATCCCGGAGATTGTCACAAGTTCATTCAATGTGGTCCAACAGCCTCGGTCCTTACTTGTGCCATCGGCTTGTACTGGAACCGCAGCACCCAATCTTGTGGCTCATCCCAAATCGATTGCCAGCCCAACGAGCTCTCATACTTCTCCAAAGAAGTTTGAATACACATGATATGATGAATTCATAAATATTGACAAGGATTATATAATCAAATATTAATTTGTAATAATAATAATAAAAAACGCTTACTTCATACGCAAAGAAATTAATTGAAAGGTAAATAAATTGCAAACTTTTTTAAATTGTTGATATGTTTATTATCATTAATTTTTTTTTTATAACTAAGTACGCATTTAATTTTTTTTTTTTTAATATCGTTAAACACGAATAGCCTTGTCGTTAATTTGAATTCCCAATCAGAGGAGTCCAACCATTACCGAATTTTAAAATTGACAACCGACTATTTTAACTTCCATCAATAGTCATATTCATAAAGTATAACTTCGACATGAATATTCAAAGCCTGGCCTTCATTTTCGTAGTTTTACTCATTTGATTAGAATTCCAGTTAGAACGGTTTCCATGCTTATGCAATGCAATTAGCCAGTTGTGCGTCCGTGCAGCTCATGACAACTACATTAAACTCCAGTTCATCTGGACAGTCGTAGCCCACAGCAATGGGCTCTTGGCATACAATATATTTGGAGCAATTGTGCGGATATGGCACTAGTGAGCCTTCAGGTTTACCTTCACAGATGTCATTTGGCGATTGATTGGACTCTGTTGTTGTTGTTGTTGTCACAGGTAATTTGGTAGTAGAAGTCAGAGGTTTGACAGTTGTTGCAGTCATGGTGCAGTTGGCATACCAGGGAGCCATGCAGCGCTTGAGTGAAGGACTAAACTCTTGACCCTCAGCACAATTGAAGATCAGTGGATTGGGCGAATAACACTGAAGGAATTTGGTGCAGTCATTGGGATAGGGCACCAGGACACCCTCCTCGACGCCCGCACAAGGATCAAAAGGATCGGGCTGTGGTGTTGGTGTCGTTGTTGTTGTTGAAACTGTCGTAGTCATTGTTGTAGTTGTCGGCAAAGCGGTTGTTGTTGTTGTTGTTGTTGTTGCTGCAGTTGGGTCGTAACTCTGGAGACAGGCGTCGGGCGCTACAGTGCCACCACATTCACCACTGATGGGATCGTAATACTCGCCGATGCCGCAAACGCCCATCATATAGACTTTATCACTTATGCAACGAATAAACCACTGACAATTTTCTATGAATGGAAGTGTATTTCCTTTACCATTTATGCAGATGTCAGGAGCAGGCGTCGGTGGGAGTGGCATCATTGTGGTGCCAATGGATTCGCAATCACTTTGAGCCCAATCTACACACTGCTGCAGTGCTGCACTGAAGAAATATCCTTGAATGCAGTGGAATGCTATAGGCACGGGCTCTACACAAATTATATATTTGCCGCAATTATCTGGATAGTTAACATATTGTCCCTTTGGTACTCCGGCACAAATCTTAGGATCTGGCTGATCGGTTGTTGTCGACGGCTTCAGTGTGGTTGTTGTCCCTGCAGTATTCGGCGCTGTGGTTGTTGTCCCTGCAGTTGTCTGTGGTGCTGTAGTGGTTGTAGTGATAACACTCTCCTGGCACGCTGTGGGCGATACGTTCTGCTCACAATTGCCCGTCGCAGGATCGAACCAAGCATTATATATACAGTCAACAATTACAGACTCTCCGTCACCCAAACACAACAGATACTTGGTACAGTCAGTGACTATTGGATATGAGACACCAAGCTCCTGATCAACACAGCGATCTTGTGGACTTTGCGTTGTAGTTGTTGCTACGGTGGTTGTTGTTTCAACTTCCTGGCAAGCTGTCTTCGACACATCACGTCCACAATCGCCAGTCTTTGGATCGTACCAGGCATTAACTGGACAACTCGCTTTGTAATATTGATCGTCGCCGAGGCACAAAATATACTGTTGGCAGTCCTCAATATATGGGAAGGTAGTACCAGACTTTTCTCCCACACATTTCGTAAATGCTTCGGTCGTTGTTTTTGGATTTTGTGTGGTTGTCAGTGGTGTAGTAGTAGTCTGATCACTATAGCAGACAACCTCATTGGGATCATCGCATACAAGTATAACAGGATTGAAAAGATAATGATCGGGACATGTCTGCAGTACAGCTTGGTGTTCAATGCAAATCATGAACGCATTGCATTGGTCTATCACAGGAAACACACTTCCGTTGGGAACATTCAGGCATTCCGGGTCAGGGATTGGCTTTGCGCTACAATCAACAGAATCGGGCGTGTCACAAATCTGTAGATCTTTGTTGAATAGCTTCCCACTAGAGCAGTATTGGAGACACGCTTTCGAGTCGATACATGAAATGTACGCAGCACAGTCGTATGGATACTCATAAAAGCCATCAGGCAGATATTTGCAAAAATCTGCTTCAACATTTGGGGTTTGTTTTTTGACTCGAATATTTCTAGTTGAAGCACATTGAACAGCAACCGCCAGCGATATGAAAAAAAATCTCCAGCTCCAGTTATAAGCTGAAAAGAGTAAAGCAAAAAGAATATCATGAGAAACTAGAAAATAAAAAGAAACTTTGTTATGTTGATACTAAATTCGAAATACTATATAATATTCGGTTGCCTTTTTTAGGCAGTTGCATAATTTATTTTCAAAATAACATTTCAAGTATAGTTTTCAGTTTATAGTGAGGATCCATCGTTTAAGAGTTCCTCGTTGCTATATTTTGGGTTCATCTAGTGCTGAACACATCCAGTATTCTCAGGTAGATCACAAATTCCCTTCTGGCCATTGAAGTATCTGTCACCGCAGCTGACCTTCAGGGCTTGCTGGTGGCGGCAGATGTAGTAGTCGTTGCAGCGCTTAGGAGAGGCCATGAGGAAACCATCAGGCTTGCCAATACAGTTGATTTGAATTCCATTTTCGACGGATGAGAGGCCAAGCAAAGCCTGAACCACTTCCTTCAAAGGACGACGGTTGGGACGGGCACGAACCGGGTGCTTAGCATTCAGTGCTGAAATGCCTTTATTTGCTTTTGAGCCTGGGCACGGTGTTGTTATGATTGGAGCACAAGCTGTTGTCGTTGTGCTGCACGGAGTAGTCACCGTTGTAGGCGCGGGGCAGGTGGTGGTGGTACAAGTTGTTGTTTTTGTTGTTGTCGTGGTGCAAGTTGTCGTTTTTGTTGTTGTTGTGGTGCAAGTTGTTGTTTTTGTTGTTGTCGTGGTGCAAGTTGTCGTGGTGGTGGTTGTCGTGGTACAGGTTGTAGTTGTGGTGGTTGTCGTGGTACAGGTTGTAGTTGTGGTGGTTGTCGTGGTACAGGTTGTAGTGGTGGTGGTTGTCGTGGTACAGGTTGTAGTTGTGGTGGTTGTCGTGGTACAGGTTGTAGTTGTGGT